AGGGGGGAGGGGGAGGGGTCCGCAGCAGCGTTAGTTACCGGCTAATACTCGCCATACGGGGCGCAGACCTCAGCTGCCGCAAAGACCCATTCAAGGAAACCGCGCCCTTCGCTTCGTCCCTCCTTCCTCTCTCCCTTCCGCCTTTTCTCAACACTCCCTCTCCCTCCTCCTCTCTCTGTCTTCCTTTTTCTGTCTGTCTCTCTCTCTCTCTCTCTCTTCCCTCTCTTAACAGACCCTCAAGGGCTGATGTGAGAAAGGCCAGTCGTATCTTTGTGCTCTTACCCCCTCCCTGTTCCCCCTCTCCCTTCCTTAACTCCCCGCTCCCCTCTCAACGGCTCTCTCCATAGCGTTTGCAGAAGGGCAGCAAGCGCCCCCAGTAGAGGGAGGGAGACAACGGTGGAAAAGAAAGGGAACGACGGTGAAAGTAAGAGAGAAAGGAGAGCGGGAAGAAGGGAGCGGGCGTAAGGGGCATCGAAGTCGCAACAATTGGCTCCAATTTCGCAGCTTTGTCCCTGGGCATTTAGGCGCCGCAACGCGTCGCCGTGGAAACCCTTTGCCGGCGAGGCAGCGAAAAGGAGGAACTTTTGCAATGAAAAACAACCGCCCCCCCGCAAAAAAAAAAGTGTTTTTTCCCCTTTTAAAATTACATTGCAAAAAATGGTTGTAGAACGTTGTTGTCCACCTTAAAAAATGAAATCAGATGTCTTTGTTTTAAGATTTTTCTAAAAAAAGGAAGTAAAATTAAGAGCAAATATTGCTAGTTTGAACTGGGGTAAAAGGCGACCAAAAGCGGGGATTATATTTCAAAATTTAACTTTAAAGTTTTCATACGGCTGGCCTTTTGACCGGACTCCTCGCATAAGGATGAGCGCGCCCGCAAGGAGTATTAACTAAAAAACTTTCCTCTTATGAACGGACCCAACCATTAATTGTTTCCGAGAGGGCCGTGTGGTGGGGTGCGCCGGAACTTTTAGAGCAGAAGTGAAGGTGCTGCTCGACGAGCGGGGCGCCGGTCCGCCGGGGCGGTGGGGCGGACCTGGCCGCGCCAGCCCAGCCCGTGCGACGGTCTACCCTGCGGCATGAATGTTTCATGAACATAGTTCAGCTGCTTGTTTCGAGGTTCAAACGGCAGAGGTGATGAAGGCACCGTGCGCGTTTAGAACACGGCTGGTATGGGCAGAGACGACATTTCACCGTCACAGATTTATAGAAAGGGAAAAGCGCAAAGAATAAATGCAACCCAAACAAGCGGACACGGGGTGGGCCGCGAAACACCGTGAACTCCGCAACAACGGAAGCCGGCATTACAGAGTTGCGTCACGACAAAGCGGGGAAGGGAAGCCAGCCTCCTGCCTGGGATTTATTTATTCGCGC